ATATACAAGATCGTAAATAATAAATAGATATCTTTAAGGATAAGAATGAATCTTGAAAAGATGATAAACATGTCATAAAATTATCTATTTAGAAGATCATGAATTGATAAGTAGATATATTATTTGATAAAAATAATTTTTGATTTACAGTAGACATGTCATGAACTTGTATAGTATTGTGGATCAAACTATTGTTTCATTATAGTTAAGAAAAGATATTCAATAGAAGATTTACTATATCATTAGGTGGATTGACTAAAACATACCAAATCAATTGTAAAAACTAAAAATTCCTAATTTTCTTTTTAAAAAATAAAGCTTTACCCGCAAATCGATGTTTCATTGGATGATTAGAATAGTTGATCGAAAGCTGAAAAGTAGGTGTTGGAAATTGAAAGTTGTCAAAGAACTGATTGGATGAACGGAGCAATTTAAATTTTTTAAGAAGAACTCATTTGCCCAGTCAAGAGAAAAAAGTGTGTTTGAGAGAGATGGAGTGAAAAAGTTTATTTATTTAGTGGGGATTGTTTTGTATTTTATAAAAAGATTGTAAATTTTGAAAATGTTAATTGAGTCCCCAATTAACTTAATCAACTATTTAAGTATCTTTAACCAATTTTCGGTCAACATTGTCACCAATAGTTAATTCCGGACTTGAAGGATACCTTTCCTTCAATTTTCTCGGGTTTCTTTTGTGAGGAAAAGGAAATTGGGCCGGGTCGGGGCTAAGGGATTTGGGCTGGGGGCTGAATTGGAGAGGTTCGGGTCGCGAATTGGATTGGGAATTGCATCTGGGTGAAGAATTAAAATTGAGGTGATAGACTGCTGAAAAAGTTAAAAAAAAAGAGGTCCAAAGCTTTGTCTAAAAATTAGAAAATTAGTACAATTGAATTTACTTGGTGAACTCGGTCAAAATAAATAAATAAGATGAATTAATATAAGTTAATTTTGATAAGCTTCTTAATTTTAACGAATATGCATCCAAACAACTGAGAAAATTATTTAACATGAATTATTATTTTTGATAATTAAAGACCTCTACATCTACTAATTGATTTATGAGATTTTCACATTGAAAATTTGTGTTTTAATTAGTAGATGTTTTTAATTAATTTCATCTTATTTATGATTTAAATTTCGTATACGTGAAATATATAAATATATTTTTTATTCAAATTTTAGTTATTCCATCTTAACAATACAGGAGACAGCCAACACGTCTTCTTCACATGTGTGGTTCCACGTAATAGTTAACAACATATTCACTCTTGAAATTCTATTTGTGTCACATATATTTGGACAAGGAAAATCACATATATTATTTAAAAATTACGTAAAGATACTATAAATTACAACAATTAATAACTTAAATAATTTTAAAATCATATTAAAATTTAATCAACTCTCAAAATTTTATTTATGTCATAAAGTGAGATAAAAAATAGCACATATTGGGTCCGTGCTAGCACGGGCGCATGTGACTAGTGATATTCTATAAACTATACTTTTCACCATTGTTTTTTGTGAAAAAATAAACATAACTACTACAATAAAAATATTTTAGCAATAATAAATATACACATTAACAAAAAGTGATAAAGTCTTCAACCATAAAAGGTATTGTCATTGGATTCAATTGTTATAAACTTTAAAAATATTTAAAAAGAGAGTAAATGGCCGCTAAAAATACATATTAAGTATCAATGAAGCTATTACTTTTTAATTACTTGTCACTAAAGAGTATTTTTAACATAATAAATTTTGTAAGTAGTTCAATTTATCTTCTTAAAAATATCAAAAGTTATCAACAGAAAGGACAAATACGAAAACTATTCATCTTGAACTTAAAAAAATCTAATTATTTGGAATAATGAAAAGAATCCCAAAAATTCAGTTAATACTCTTTCTGTTTGTATTTACTTTTTCATAGTTGACTTGATATACCTTTTACAAAAGTAATAATTAACATAATAAATTTATCATTTTATCTCTATTAATTGATAATATTTCAAAATTAATTTATTAATTAAAGAGATTTTACCTATTTTAAAAAATATTGAATCTCAATAAATTGAAAATATAATAAATAAATATTATTATTTTTAATTTATAAAAAATAATAACTATAAAGTTAAAATTGAACTAGAAAATGACAGAAGGGGAGTATGAAACAGAGGGAGTACATATTTCTGGAGTTGAACTAAACTATTGCAAAACCGGGTAGTTTAGAAATGATCATTTCCCAAGTGTGGACTTTTTTATTCTCTTTTGATCTGTCAATTAAGAAAAAAATTTACTTTCATATATAGTGTTTACGTTAATTTAATAGAATTTTTATTATTATGTGATTTATTAAAGTAAAATTTATATTACTTAATTAAAGTTAAGTAAAATGAATTATAAATTTAAACATGTAGCATGTATCTATTGTATTCATGTAAAATATTCGGTGCGAATAAATTTTACACAATGAAGAGCAAATTACTTTTTCGTCTTATTTTATATGTCATTCCTTTCCATAAATTGTTGAATCGCTATACTTATTATTTTATAGATTTATGTATAAATTATTAGATTTTACTTATTATAACCTTAATAAAGTAGTTAATAAATTTTAAAAATATATTCATCCTTTATTATAAAAGTTAATTTGAAAAAATATGAATTAAAAATAAAAAACATTTTATATCATTTTCTTAATCTAAATTTACAATAAAAATATGACATAAAATAAAACGGAGAAAGTAGATATCAGGGCGCAGTGCAGTTTCTAGTGACTTAGCGAGCACAAAATGATAAATATAGGAGAGAGATTCTGTGAGGTTTCAACGTGTGCTTCATAATCACTACACACTTCTAGGAGTTTCATTAATTATATTTTTTTTATAATTTATCAAAATAAAAAAATAATAAGGGATATTATAAAAAATAAAGTGAATAAATAATTATTAAAAAAAATACAAAATCACAAGTTTGATCGATAAATTAAAGAATACAAAATCCTTAGTATTCTCTCGTATTATATTATTAGTATATTTGCAAAGCATGAACTGAACCGTACATATTTATACAAAATCCTTAGTACTTGGGCATTCTAGTCTATCTCTTAATAGACTCTACTCATAATTCAACCACAATATTTCCCCTTTTTACATCCTATCATATCTTTTCCATACTCTATTTGACCCTCACAAAACTAAACTTATCCCCATTCTTTTGCCTCCACAATGCCCAAAATTATACTCTTCCTCTTCCTTTTCATCTTAGTTTCTTCATCACTACCACTCTTACGAGGTCACATTCATTTATCAATTCATTATTTTCATTCAATTCAATTTTCTATTGGTATAACATTTCATTTCTCAATTATATTCACAGGTTCAGGAATTCAAGCGTTAATTCCTCATTCTCAAAGGGCGTTACATTATGAGGTAGGAAAACGAAATTAAGTCAATTTTTTGGATTTTGTGAATTGAATTTGATTGTGAGTTTGAATTGGTGAAAAAAGGGTGGCGGAAAAAGATGGGTGAAAAAGAATATGAGAAGATTGATGATAGGATCAGTGGCTCCAACTTGCACTTACAATGAATGCAGAGGATGCAAGTACAAATGCAGAGCAGAACAAGTTCCAGTCGAAGGGAATGACCCAATGAATAGTCCTTATCACTACAAATGTGTTTGTCACCGTTAATTCCCACACACCAGCAGCACCCTTACAAGAACAACCCTATTTTTAAATTTTCATCTTCTTTTTTTTTCTGGTTCGGGTTGCTTGAATTTTGTTTTGTTTTTTATAGTGTAATGTTGAATCATTATTCCTCTTCCTTCAAATGGAAAAACACATTTTTGCATCTTCTTTTTCACTTCTACATTTACTGCGCCTGATATGCTGATTCCTTTGTGCTCAGAACTGATATTTCTCCAGAGCAATCGTATGTCATATTTTTTCTTTAAACAGGCCGCCGAAACAAACTACTATTCTATCCAATTTTAAAATTACTATTTATAAATTTAAAATTTTAATTTAGCGTGTATTTTTCGGTATAATCAAATACAAATTATCAAAATAATATGAAACTTAAATGTGATGTACCAAAAGTGGGGGATAAAACTTAGAAGAGTTTAGAAGAAAGGGAACCACTGCAAGTGGCACATGAAAGTGTGGTCCCAATAAATTCGAATCTAATTTGGAATAGGTCACATGGGGCAATATTTGTTCAAGCCCAGAAGATATCTGTAACCATTTGCAAATTGGAGACCAAAATAATATTCTTATGAACCTCAATTCCAGTAGCTATGATTCTACATTTCGCATTCTTTTGAGTCAAATTTCTAACTGATGACATAAATGAGCCTTTTTTGAAAATTCAACGGCACAAATAAGCCTTTTCCCAAAATAAATATACATATTTATCTTCATATATGTTAGTTTTTGATAAAGATATATTAATAATTTTAATTTTTAATAATATCTGACGCACGTCACGGGCCATTTCCTTCCTCTAGTATGCTAGATATGAAGTACTATATGGATCAGTTTGTCTATACATTAAATTAATATTTGATAGTTTTTGAATTTTTGAGATTTTCATTCCCATTTTTTTTTCAAAGTGAAATGTATGAGCAAATGAAGGACAATGCAATATGTATGGACTAAAATGATATTATAAATTATATTTTATTATTCACATATAATATAAATTTTAATGGTGAATAATATATTTATCACATATTTTAATACACTTATAATACAATGTGACGAATTTTTATCAAACCAACATGATATATTTCAAAAAATAATTATAATTCATATATATTGCATGCATAATTTACTTTTAATACATATTATAAATTTAACAGAGCATTGCTATTAATATTAATAAATAAAAAGTATCGCTAAAATTCGTAATTTTTTTTTAATATGTATTAATTTATACAATTTTTCCTTATTTTTATATAAGGACTAAAATAATCCAATCCCAATAAATTATAGACTATTTTGAGCATTTCATCAATTATTTAGTCTAGTAAAATCAGTCCAAAATGTAAAAGAAAAATATGTGACAATTGCTTTACTCTCAACAGTGTGCTTCTTATGAGTGTTCATGGGAGCTCCGCCCATCTCTGCCGGAAAGGTTGGTTAATGAAGATTCCGGTGGGCTTCTCCGTCTTACCAGTGTTTGTAGGGAGATCGATTCACATTAATTAGGTATTTTCTAATCATTTCCCCAATATTATTAAATCATTTGTTAGACGTATAAATTTGATTGATCGGAAATTCAACGTGATCTTTTGGTTCTAATTGTTAGACGTATAAATTTTATTGAAGACTACCTGAATTTTGATACTGTTTGCAAATCCTAGCACTCTATTGGCCTCCAGGACAATTTTATTAGTAATTTGCCTAGGGTTCGTTCCATGACTAATACTAGCTAAGGATGAGGATGATAACACCTGTGTAATGACATGATTTTGTAAAAGAGGATTTCGGGAGCCGAGGGAAAATGATGTATGGAGTCTATGGGATGGCTTACCACAGTTGGAAAAGAGAAGGTGAAATTAGTCTGTTACATTTCTTCTCCAGTGTTCAAATCCTATTAACACATCAAAATAACACCAAACATTATCGACCCTAGAAGACTTCAGAACCGTGGACCTTTATCCGTAAAGCAGTTCTGTCAGCTAATCCTTCCTATACATCTGATCACATTCTCATGGTCACCGAGGGAAACTTCCGGTTACTCAGTTAAAGGGGACCAAGAGATTTTTCATGGCCCATGATTAGAAAGCTGACCTGAAAAGGACATATCAGTGATGTGTTATATTTCAATGGCAACTTTAGTGCAATCGATTATAGTAGTTGCAACAAAGTTTGTGATGTCGGTGGCTTTGAAACCGGTAAAAGTCATATCATACTGCAGATAGAACCATAGATTTATGGTAAGTATTACATCCTAGAATCACTAGGATCATCATTTGTGGTTGCGCAATGAGGTGTTGATTTAAGGTAGGTCAAAGAAGATTGTGAAGGATTCCACTAACGCTCGTCCAAGTTGAAGCTGATGATGAGGGAATAAGTCCTACTCTTATAGGACACTGGTTTTCCAGATTGATTTAGATGCTTGCAAAACTATGCCAACTAGGATTTAGTAGAGCTTTCGGGGAATCAAGCCCAATCATATTTATTTTACAGATAATTGTTTGGGTGCTTACCTCTAGTTTAAGGTGGTAGCTTGGACATGGGGGTCTTAAATTAGCAGATGGAAATGTCCAGCTATATTATGATGGTGTTTCCCTCAGTCATGTTTGTCATCCAATCTGGGTCACACCAAATCCTTTGTGAGCGAGTTCTTTTTCTACATTTTCTCTTTTCTTATTCTATATGTTCTTGTTTTAACCTGGAAGTCAACTAGATTTCTTAAAAGAGAATTTACACCATGTCAATACCTTCAAACTTGGCTGATGCATCTTCAAGGTTATGTCTTGGAATGCACTACTGCCTTCTGAAAAAGAAATGGCTGAAGGGTTTATAAAATTAAAATGTTTAATAAATTTGTAAATTAATTTTCTTTTTGAAAATAATGGAACTATGTGATGTCTATTGGATTACTTGGAAGCCTCTTAGGAGGTTCCAAATTTCACTGGTGATGTTAAGATTAAGAAGAATGTGACGAATATACTGACGGAGAAACAATTAAATGTAAGAAGTAGATTGTTTATTGTTGTTTTGGACCCTCAATGTGTGTGACCTGAGACAAAATTGTTTGGTCCATTTCTGCTTTTCTGTTTAGTGCCAACAATAAATGCTGTGTTGATAAAGAAACCACCCTTTTTGAAGTGACTGGTTAAGTCACAGTCATTAGAAAATAACAGGCTAGCAAATATTTATAGACGTACTTGATTTAAAGATTTTGGCCGTTTGCTTGTGTCTTGTCAACAATTTGCATGTTTAACTCTCCGGTGACTATGGAAGTTTGTACACTGGAATTTCTGATCTTTAGTTTGAGTACATCCACGGAATCTGAAATTCAAAATAACACTCTTCAGAATAGGATATGAGGAAGATATTACTTTTTAACTGTTATGTCCCCTTTATCATTGTTTTTGGCCGTTTATTTACCATCACACTTTTTTGACAGGCATCTGCATGATCCATCAAATCCAGTTAAATCTGTTGATTTTCATAAGATTATTGAGAATCTTCCCTAGAAGAGCAGGCGTGTGACTCAAGTTATTTGGATGTTATAAATGTAGCATAATTTGCAGCTACACATCTAGTGTAAGTGAGCTTTGTTGTTCATCACTAAATCATATCGTATTATAACTGATCTATGTACAAGGGGAAATTCTTACTGTTTGCTCAACCACTATCTAACTTAAGCTTATCGTATTATGTTAGATATTGTGAAACAATGTGATCACGTTACTGTTAAAGCTCAAAAAAACTCCTTTGAGTTATCAAAAATATTTGTTGGATCAAAATTTATCGTTCCTCTTTACAATTACAAGAACATGTTCTAGCTTTGAGAAAGGGGACTTCTTGTAGTAACTTGTTTCGCTAACGGACATTGTTTAAGGTAGGGATAATGAAGGAAGCATATTCAAAAAGTAGTTTGAGACTAAGACGTAGTTTGTGTTGTTTTATCAAATGAATAATGATAAGCACGTGCTTCACAAACAAGTCATACTTGCAAGTAATCTTCATGCAATTAATATGGAGGGGAAGGAAAAGGCATAAGAAACTAATGATTTTTTCTTAGTGGAATTATATCAAAGATACTATTACAATCAATACATTAAGTCTTGTGGTTGTTTCAACTTCTTGTTGTCTGTCTTTTCATATGCAAATTATGTGATTGATGAATAAAGATAAAAGAGATCTCTATAGTTAACATATTTTTGTTGTCAATCATAACTCACCAAAATTTTCATTTTTTAAGTTAATATTGTGTCATCAGAAATTCACAAACTAATAGGTCATTTGGATGCCCATTACAATGTGGAATTATTCATATATCAAAATTAACATAAGCGTTACATTTGCTAAAGATTCCAATACCAAGTACGGTGTTTAGTTACATGTTTGCAATCCCACATTACTAATTTGGAAAAGATGTTACGCGTTTGCCAAATTTATTTGAATGAATTAATCCTTACAAGGATAAATTTTTAACTCTATGACTTAAAGTTAAAGGGGTAAAATTGGATTTTTTAAATAAATTTTTGAGATATCTTATTAAGTTTTGACTTTAGGCCGTTAATTGTATTGAGTTATCCATATATTAGTATACATGTATTAGTTATTACATCTTGTGCCGTGAATAAATAATTCATAAATTTCCTCGTAACTTATACATGTATTAGTTATGAAAAAAATTGCAAACAAGTAACTAAACTTCGTATTTGGTGCGCTTAATTTATATATCACAAAATAAAATGCTACCAAACAGAGTACTCCTAATTATACTAGTCTTAATACATGAATAATATAATTCTAACCAGCAATCAGATGACCGCTTAGTATGTGTATTAGTATGTGATTTTTGAATGACATAATATTATTTTAGTAAATGAACATTTTGGTGAGAAAAATGATTGACAATAAAAGTATCTTAGATATAGAAAGTCCTTTTATCTTGACTCATTAATCACATATTTTACATATGAAAAGAGAGACAACAATGAATTGAAACAATTGCAAATATTAATGTATTGATTGTAGTATTATTCATTGCATGAAGATTGCTTTTCTTCCTCCCTTATATTTATTGCATGAATAATGCTCATAGGTATGACTTCTTTATGAAACACGTGTATGATTACTCATTTGGTAAAACAACAAAACTATGTTTCAGTCTCAAACTAATTTGCATGTTGCTCCATTTCCACCCCTTCATTATCACTTCCTCGAACAATGCCCGTAGCGATTCAGGTTACTACAAGAAGATACCTTTCAAGAGACTAAAATGGTGACCTTGTAATTGTAAAGAGAGATGAGATTTTTTAACATGATTGCATTGCCTCACATTAGCTAACAAAATATGACAAGCTAAAGTTAAAATAGAGTAACAATAACAATTCCACCTTGTGTATAGAGTAGTTAAAATATAACATGCTTTAGCAATGAGCAACAAAACTAACTTACACTAGATGTGTAACTGCAAATTATGTTACATTATTTAACATCCAAAATAACTTAAGTCATACACCTGCAATTCTGGCAAGATTGAGAAAACAAGCCATCCACCTATCTACCAAAAGAAATGTCTTTAGTGGCAATTAATTGAATATCGATGTATTCCTTTGCTCAACAATTATTAGACAATAAATGGGAATGAAGACCTTTTCGTTGGCCATTGAAGAGATTAGCTTCAAAATGTTGGTACTAAATAGAGTAGTACAAAATCTTTTTGTATGTTCCCTCCCTCCTTGTAAACCTAGAACAGACGGAAATCTAAAAACCTAGTCACATAATCTCCGATTATTCAGTGCATCTGCAATTGTTTCGTCGGGGATTTTGGATTTGTGGTGGATTTTAGATGTTCTTGATAGGAACAATGCGGAAGAGGAAGGTGAGTGTGTTTGATGTGGTGGATGAATTGTTGGCGTCGGCGAAGAAAGCCAATGGTGGAGACGGCATGATGCCTTCGATCAACAAGTAATATGAAAAACCTTACTCACAGTGATTCTATGAGATTTTGTAGAAGAGGAAGACTCTTCCTGTATGGCATCAAAAAGAGGAGTTCTCAAGTTGATGAATATCCAATCAACGGCTGTCGTCACCAGGTAATCCGAATCATCTCTCCCGCACTCTATCTATCTCTGTCTATTCTCCCTCAGTTTTGATTTTTCTTTATTGTTGATGGCTCTCTTTCTGCCTTAGCTCTCAACCTTGCCTCTCGTCAGTTTTGATGGTCTCCGGCTTACATACTCAAGGCCTAGGCTTGGTTTCATTTTTCTCCTTTTTTGTCTATTTTAGTTTTTGTTGATATTCTATTTTTAATAAAATTTTGTTCTAGTGGTCTGCTTTAGATTATCTTTAATTGGTCTTATATACAAGTACCCAACTATGTGCATATAGTTGTATGTATGTGGTTGAGATGGAGTATTTAGCATCACCTCAGTGCCTTGATCAATTTAGTGGAGCGAGGGTTGTAATACTTTGCTATTTACTCAGAAAATGACATTTCTTTATAATTCTGATGAAAAATTTACCTTTTGGTTCACTTCTACAATATACATACTGTCATTCTCTGGTGGATTTGGTAATAATTATGTTGGAGTAAACCCAAAAGCCTGGAAGACAAGAATATGTAATAACCCAAAACTCAATATACGTACTGTCGTTCTTTTGTGCACTACTGTTTATTGTTCATTTGGCAAGCAAATGTCAGTTCTCCTGGATTACAAAATATTGTTTCTGTTCTTTCATGGCTGCTGATATGTTGAAGTCTATTGAATTTCAATTGATATGACTTCCTTTTTTTGTATGTTTGTTTTCCTCTCTGATCTTTTTCATAAAATAGCTGAGATGGCTTACTCACACGGGTCTCTTGTACTGGTTGATAACAGTATTATGTCCCTTGTACCGTCCCATCCTTTGGACCTTGCAGTAGGTGTTTGCAGATACTTCTTGTTCTGGTAACATGAACCTTCTTCTGTTAACATTCTCGAGGTACTTGTTATCTTAAATGGTCTGCTATTTTTCAGATATTTTTGATGCATTCAGCAGCCAATTTTATATCTGGCCATTGTGATTTGATGGGGGGCGTCCTTGTTGTCATAGGAGAAAGGTTTTTCTTCATATATTCATGGCTTGATTTATACTTATCATATGCTTTCTCATCATCCTTAGTGCCCTAGAGTTGCTTTCATTGCCAAAAATATCAGATTACCCCGATTGACGAAAAGAACACTACACCAAAAATAATCCTTAGCAGCAATAGCTTAATTGCTGCTAACTATGTTTTTTAGAGGCAATTACTAGTGTCAATTAAAATAATTACATTTTAGCACTCTTTGTAAATGCCACTAAGCTTGTAGTGACGACATTATGATCTAATGACAATTAACTAATGCTGGTAAAGGATTTAGCGTCATTTGTTAATAGGCATATTTGTTGCCGCTAAAAGTTGTTTTTTGTTGTAGTGGAAGAAGAAGAAGAAGAACCTCTTATAATAAGCTCGTTTAATAGATTCAGTTACCTAAAGTTTCAAGTACTTAGTGTCTGTTGCAAAATTATTAATTTACCTCAATGGAAAACTGGAAATTTCTAAACAATAGTAGTTTGGATTGCAAAATTCATGTTTTACTTAGAAACAGATTGAGTTCATGCAAATATTATTCTAAACATACATATCTTTTAAAAGGTGACAGATTATGTAACCTTCTTGCTAGGTCATTTCTCTTAAAAGATTCAATCACTTGAAGGTTCTCAGGAATTTTAACCCCAATGCATACAAGTAAATTTACATTTCGTCAGACAAATCTTGCTCAGATATTGTGGTGTCGAGTTAATGTATTGCACATTTGACATTTGTATTCTGAGGTCATGTAAAGTTTAAATTGCAGCCTTTTTACTAGGATGAAGCTACATATAATAAGTTCCCCCGTATGCAGGCATGACCTACTTTTTCTGAATATAGTGCCTGCCCTTCTTACCGAATGTGAAGTTCAGATTAGCTGGGCAAAGAACATTTATTTCCTTCAAAATGCAGAAGGTGCAGGCTTAGTCCCATTTGATTGTTGGCTTTGCTTAAGAGGGACTAAAATGATGGTGTTGCGTGTAGAGAACAACAGGTATTAAATTTTGCTTGCTTTTTAGTCTTCTGGCTTGTTACTATTTGCTAGATCCGTTCTGTTTACGAAGCTTTGAGGGTGACTTGATTGTCGATATTTTTTGTTGCACCATGAACAGTGGTCTAGCTCTCAAGAGGTTGGTTGACATAAGCATGGATTCATTACTCTTCTCTCGAAGCAATTGGTCACTCTGACGGAGTTATCTGGTGGTGTCCGCAATCTTCTTCCCAAAGCTGTGATAATTGTATTCATTCTGTAGGTTCTTTGAATTGACTATCTTCCAATAGTTCAGTAATCATGCTAAACCTAGAACCTCCTTCCAGGTACACGGTTGTGCCTTTATGTGGCGAGTAATCACATGATGAGTTGGAAACTCTTCTCGCCGTGGAACCTCTCAGTAAGACTTGCCGTGTGGTGATGAATCACAAGACAAGTTTGCATGTGCAAATTGAAACTTCATGAGAACATAGGTGTATGGAAAGGACAGAACTTCTTTATGGATAAAGGTCTGAAGTCTTGTTGGGTCTATAATGTTTAGTGGTATTTGGATGCGGCAAATGGCGATTGGGTTTGAACACCAGAGAAGGGATGTAATCGATTTTACTTTTTTTGGACATCACTTTTACTAGACTTAACTGTTGGGAAAAGAACTATCAAAATGGTCCTACATGTATGGGATTGGATTATTCTAGACCTTCGTATATGTCACGTAATTGAAATAGATCTTGATGTATAGTGAAAGTGATCTTCATCATCTATAAACTGAAATAGTTTTTTAATGTATAGAAAAACTGATCCATCTACTTCTTATATATACCATGTCATTGAAATAATTCTTGAGGCTTAAAGTCATATATCGCTCCGCAAAGTTGTCCGCATAATTCACATAGACACCTCACGTATTGAACACCTAAATTGTTCAAAATGTGTACCTATTAGATACAAAATACTGATATGACAAAAAATGTGTATTGCATTTCCCTGAAGCGCGTGAAAAAACTCAATACAATGTCTTTTTTATTAATTTTTTTACATTTTTTCTTCTTTTATTGACACTTGACATTATAATTAACTTAAAAAATAGTTTCTTCTTTATTTACACTTTTTTCAAAAAAGAAAACACCCCACTTCCTATCTATCATCTTTTTCATAATTTAGTTTACAAAACTTTCTTTATTTTAGCTCCAACACTGTTTTTTTTCTTTTTTTATATACAAAAAATTTATATCTTCTAAATATGAATATAAATGAAATCAACTATAAAGATTCAGATTTGAAAGAAAGTCTTGGTATGATTTATTTCAAATCTCATAAAAACAAGGAACAAGTATGAAGAAGATGAAAAAAGATAAATGATTTACACGTATAAAAATAGTTAGCGATATTTATTTATCACAACTTTTGAACAAAGATTTTTACTCAAATTCATATGTTGTCATTAAATTTATCAAAAATGATATAAAAAAATTTGAAAGAAATAATTTTGGAGCTATCAATTTCATTTTGTCATCGATGTAGAGCTGAATAACCGCCAACAAAATTTTCTTTCTTCTTCACTCTTAGTATGAAAAAAAATTAATCTTGAAGTTATTTGAAAAGAATAAAATTTTGTAATTTGAGAAATGTGTTTTGGGGAAGAAGATGAAGATGAAAGGGGGTTGGGGTGGGGTGGGGTAAGGTGGCGTAGAATAGATTGACATTTTCATTTTTTCTTTTTCTTTTTTAAAAATTAGATATTAAATATGTGTTTTTTTTTTAATTTTCGGGCCCAATGTCAAATGTTGTTTTTTAATGGGCAACTTTCACATATAGCAAATAAAAAATTCATATTTATATGTTATAGCAAAGTTTGCATAATTGCGCCTCCATAACAAACATAGAAACTGTATAATTCGCTAGACATATACACTTGAAGCAAATTGTATAAAAAGAAATGTATAAAACAAGAAAGAGAAAGACACTTGGGCAAGAACTGTATAAAAATGAAGTGTATAAAACGAATTGTATTATTATAAGTGTAGAGAACGATTATATACAATTTGAATTTGTATAAAATGAGAAAGAGAGAAAGACAAAATAGACTTGACAAGAAATATACAATTGAATTGAATTGTATAAAACGAGAAAGAGCGAAATTAGATACAATTTTAAAATTGTATAAAACAAAAAAGAGAGAAAGACAAAAGAAACCGGCAGGAGAATATTTTTATTGTATAATTATAAGTGTATAGGATGAAAATATAGGTACTTGCATGTGTATATACAATTTTCTCACGCTTCATACAAACAGAAACACAATTTATACATTTCGCTTCTGTTTGTATAAGTGAAAAAGGCGAGGGTGGCGAGCGAGATTTGGGAGAGTGGCGAGCGAGATCTGGAAGAGGGGAGAGAAGGAAACAAAAAGGGAAAATAACTTGTGTGTCTACTTTTTAAAAAATAATTACCAT